TGCCTTCTCCCAGCTTTGGGCATATTCAACTTGTTCCCTAAATTTCTCCTGTTCCCTCTAATATACCATCCTCCCATGACCACCTGTAGTTCACTCCCAGTTGCCTTCAGAATTCAACTGCAGTCACTTCCTCTGGCACACCTTTTCTGTCACCCTACTCAGGAGAATTTAGATTCCCCTCCTCTGTGCCCCCATAGCAATCTATACATATCTTTACCAGAGCACTTAACACGGAACGGTATTATGTGATTTGTTTATTTGCCTTCCCACAATAGATAACTTTAAGCTCCTCAAGGGCAGGAAAGATGTTTTTCTTTGACCTTGTGTCTTTAACCACTGTGGCTGGCACATGGCAGGCTCTTAACGGTTGTTAGGTACCTTATATACGTGGGTTCCCATTTAAATAGGACTCTATATAGGTACAACACATCTACAAAATCTTTTATTCTAGGAACCACTTCTGATTAAATTACCATTTTTATAGATGTGTCTATCTTTAGTGTATCTGGTCACTTCTAATTATTGTTACCAACTTAAATAATAGCTTGAGGTTTTTGTTCTGCATTCAAAACTATTAAATACTGACCTGCATGTAATACTTCTAAGAATATATCTGAGAAGCTGCCCCTGTTAACTCCGTCACAGTCATTCATTTCCTTCAGTGTTTATAAGGTGCTCTGCAAGTCTGTCCTTGGTAGGCAACTGTTTTACAGGAATCCCTTGTACCCTAGTTGCCCAATGTGGTTCTTCACGGTGGCTTTAAATTGCTTGTGCCAATAGCCCCAGAGTTTCAAGAGTGCAAACCTAATTTCTACGTTAAATTCTTGGCTTGGGATTTCCATATTCTATGGGTAGTAAAAATTACCCCCAAAAGATTTTTCTGTCCCTGTTCAGACCCTTGGATAAGCCCCATCCTTGACACTTCTTTGGGCCATAGACAAGGTACAAAGCAGCCCTTGGAGAGCTCCAGCTTTTCTTGGTTATAGCTCCTAGCCAAGTCCAAAGCCATGCTTCCTACATCCATACATGGCACTAAAATCTGAGCCTCCAAATTCTAAGGTCTACTATATAGGCCTCATACTAACCTTGAGCCATTTTTTTTTTTTTTTTGACCTAGTAGTTCCCTTTCACTTTTCTGAACTCAGCTATATTTTCCTATGTTTGTAATGGGAAAGGGGTCCTTATAAACCCATCTACCATGTTACTAGAACCTTTTTCTTAAATAAATTTTGAGCCCATTCACTTTTCTCCATCTCTTTTACCACTTTCTCTGTGCAAGCCACTGTTCTCTCTCATGCGACTTTCTTCCGCAATAATCTCCTTACTGTTCCCCTGTCCAATTCATATGGAATACTGTAACCAGAGTTTAAAAGCCAGAATTTTAAAAAATGTAAGTCAGACCATGTTATCTTTTTGCTTAAAATCTTCTATTGGGATATTACCTGGCAATTTTACTCCTAGATATATACCCAAGAGAAATAAAAACTTATGCCCACACAAAAACTTGTACATGAATGTTTATGGTAACATTATTCAAAATAGCCAAAAGGTGGAAAGAACCCAAATGTCCATCAACTTATGAATTGCAAACAAAATGCAGTATACCTGCACAATGAAAGAGTGTTTGGACATAAAAAAGAATAAAGTGCTGATACATGCTTCAACATGGGTGAACTTGAAAACATTACTCTATGTGAAAGAAGACAGTCACAGAAGACCACATATTGATTCCATTTATATGAAATGTCCAAAATAGGCAACTCAACAGAAACAGAAAGATCAGTGGTTGCTAAGGTCTAAGGAATGGGGAGATGGGGTAGGAGTAGGGGGGGACAATAATTAAAGGATAGGAGATTTCTTTTTAAGGTAATAAAAATGTTCTAAAATTGACTGTGGAAATGGATGCCCATATCTGTGAATATACTAAAAATAACTGAATTGTATACCTTAAATTATATGGTAAATACATTTTATCTTTATAAAGCTGTTAAAAAAAATTCTAGTAGCTCATCATGGTTCTTAACATATAAATCCAGAATCCTTGTCCTTGGCTGTAAGACTCTGCATTATATAGCTCCTACTTATTCCTCAAGCCTCACCTTAGACTGCTCTTTTCCCTAACTCTCTGCAATGAAGCCACAGCATCTTCTTTTAGATTTTCCAAAGGATCAAGCACCTGCCTACCTTAGTGTCTGTCTTTTCAATAGCCGTATTTCCCGCCTGGAATGCTTACCCCTTCCCTTAGCTATTATTTGTCCTACAGAATTCAATTTGAGCATCATACTCTTAGGATAACCTTCTCTGATCCTGCCAGAAAAGGGGAGTCTTCTGTAAGCAGATCATCTGTAAAACATTGTCATAACAACTCACACCACCTCTTCATAGTATATATCACAATTATTTGTTTAACATTTGTTTTTCTTCACTAGCATATCCATTTCCCAAGGGCTAGGATTGTTATTCTCGTTTATGGCTATACCATCTGGGTTTATCATAGCACTCTGCAATGACAAATGCTCAATAAATATTCCGAAAGGAAAGAATGCTAGTGACTGAGTCCAACAGCTATTTATCTAATCTTCCTCTTTATTTATCTTGTATCATTACCCTAATTTGCCTAAATATCATTATTTATTATCTAATAAATATCTAGTATCTCCTTGTTTATTATGTAGCACCATCTAGAAAATGCACTTAATACACCCCATTCACATAAATCATTGACATTTTGATTTATTTTTATAGTTATATTCTTTCATTCTTATATTTGCTGCTCCTTGAGGAATTGTCCTAATGATAATATGTAATACACAGTAGGTAATCAATAAATATTTGTGGCTTAAATAAAACTCCTAAAACAAAATTAAAATCTGTAGCACATGCTATCTTATTGTTCATAGGTTATAAAAATCCCAGAAGACAGTAACCATCTCTCTAGGTTTTTCTAAATAATGATGCATGCAAGTAAGTAATAATGCGATTTGATAAAAAAAAAAAAACTGACTTATCCATCATTTTAGGGATCATGATCTTAATGATGAATTCAACTCATTTTACTGTCTCAGCCCAGAAGGAATTCTTTAAAGGGAGTTCTTCTCAGCTAATGAAAATATTTCTTTTGCATTTATTTCTAGATGAAACTAATAGTATCTAAATCATATCTGAGCTATTAAATGATAAGCATTAAATATTCAAGATTGATTTGTTAAAATTTCCTTGGCTGGAAACCAACTAAAAGATGATACTTTGCAATCTGTTAGCCCTGAAAATGGACTTTCTCCAATTTTTATATAAAGAAATGAAAAAAAAAGAAAGGAAGGGATGAAAGGAAGGGAAAGAAAGGAAGAAGAGAAACACTATTTTTCAATTCACTTAACATCTCCCTTCCACTTCTTCTCAAAATGTGTTTTAGAATTGTCTTTATAATAAACAAACATCTAAACAGTTTAATTCAAGGAGTGCCTGGGTGGCTAGTTGGTTAAGTGTCTGGACTTCAGCTCAGGTCATGATCTCATAAATTGTGAGTTCAAGCCCCACACTGGGCTCTGTGCTGTCAGCACAGAGACTGCTTTGGATCCTCTGTCCCCTTCTCTCTCTGCCCCTCCCCAACTCCCACTCTCTCTCTTTCTCAAGAATAATAAATTTGGGGTGCCTGGGTGGCTCATTTGGTTAAGTGTCTGATTTCAGCTCAGATCACAATCTCACGGTTCGTGGGTTCGAACGCCACATCGGACTCTGTGCTGACAGCTCAGAGTTCAGGGCCTGGAGCCTGTTTTGGATTCTGTGTCCCTCTCTCTCTGCCCTTCCCCCACTTGCACTCTGTCTCTCTCTATCAACAATAAATATTTTAAAAAATTAAAAAAAGAATAATACATTAAAAAAAATGAAAGTTTAACTTGTACCTCGTAGATAGTTAGACTTCCTGACTTATTATACATATACACACACTAGCAAATATAAAATCTCCTTCTTTTGGATATTCAAAATAAAATGAAATCAAACTGAAGTCTAGGGGTGCCTGGGTGGTTCAGTCAGTTAAGCGTCCAACTTCGGCTCAGGTCATGATCTCACAACTCGTGGGTTCAAGCCCCACGTGGGGCTCTGTGCTGACAGCTAGCTCAGAGCCTGAAGCCTGCTTCGGATTCTGTGTCTCCCTCTCTCTCTGACCCTCCCCTGCTCATGCTGCCTCTACCTCTCTCTCTCAAAAATATATAAAACATTAAAAATTTTTTTAAAAAGAAATCAAACTGAAGTCTAAATTTTAATATGATTTCACTTGTTTTTCTAGTCTTAAAAAAAGCATGGCTTGAGTTTTTAAGTAGATCCAAAACAGCCAAATGGAGGGCACTCTATTTTTTATACTTTTTTAAGCAGAGAAAATGTCCCATTCTTCTTAGTTACATCTTCCAAGGCCTCTTGATACTGACAACCAAAAAGTTCTTCTTAGATTCTACCTTAAACCTCTCCTATGCCAATTCATGACAGCTCTGTCGTAATTTTTCTCTAAAGAAACTATAGGGTAGCCAGTCACTAACCTACCATGTCATCACATACTATGCACTTCCCTTTCTGGTATTCTTAAATCCATTAAAACTTTATATCCTAGCTCTATTTCTCGGAGCCTTTTATCATGTCACTGCCTTTCTTTGCTGCCAGAGAAGTCTTCACAGACTCCTCAGAACAAAACAAAAGATCCTTCTCTGTGCTTCATGTTCTCCATCACAAAATGGGGAAATAATGCCTGACCGTGATTTCTCTTATAAGAAAAATAGAAAAAAGATATGCCTCTATTCATAACAGAATAAGTATCTATGTTAAATGATCAGAAATAATTAAGATCTCTGCCAAAAATCTCCTGGAGGCAAAATACAAAACCTAAACTGTAATATAAAGATCTGCTTTCATAAATGTATTTGGGATTAGGGGAAAGACTTCCCATCCACTCCTTTATCTCCTACCTCAAAGCAGAACCCCACAAATGAAATCAGTACATAACATACCTCCTCTTCTCCCTGGCTTCCACCGAGGAGTCTGTTCCAGGAGTGGAGAGCAGAGTGGCAGTTGTAACCCCATTGGCAGTGTTGGGTGAAGGGCGATTAGTGATCACACAGAGCGGGGTGCTAGAAGAGACATTGTCCGCTGTTTTCTCTGCTGTTGAGTCAGCCTGCGATTTGTAAGGAGTCCTGACATAAAACAAAACAAAAAACAAAAACAAAAACAAACCCAAAAACACAAGCAGAAAGAGAATGGTCAGGCATGCTACATCACAAAGCACTAGCACAGAGACAAAGGGTTGGAGTTTAAGTTTAAGTAGAGAATCCTCTTGCTCAGATTTTGTTTGTTGTTGACTGTGTTTTTTAATTCTGAGCTCTTAAATCTTAGAACAATATGATTACACACTTAAGTCTAATATCCTCTCTGCACAAAGAGTTCTGTTTCATGAACATTTTTTTTTTTTGCCTGAGATTAAAAAAATTTTTTTAAATCAACTAGGACACCAGGCAAGATAGTAACATATGCAAGACTGCTTTAAATGATTCCTGAGTACCATCTGGTCTTCACACACGCATACAGAAGCAGGGCCTCTCCACACACATGAAAACAACACTAAAGTCACTTACGATATTGTCTCCACCTGCCCCTCAATTCTTGGCAGTGACAGTCTTTGTAGTAGTCCTCAGCCTAGATTAGATGACCATCGTCTTGGATTCCAGAGATATTTGATAAATATAACCCCAGTATGTTCAGTTCTCTCGCACCTAGCTCAGCAACTGCTCTCTTCCCATTTAAGCAAATGCCCAATTGTCTGTATTCTTAAGTGCATACATGAGCAACGGAAACAAAAACTATTAAGATTCTATATGTAACCTTAACTACAGACTTTCCAACAGCAAGCTGTATAATTAAACTCATTTACATGAAAACAAGATCTTTGTTTCTTAACAAAGAGTTGAGAGCAACCATTGGCTCTCCACCCAAAAAGCTATCATTTGTGATGTCACAGCTTGTTGCTGGGGTAACAGAGATCCAAAATTGATATTCACAGAGATGGGAAAAGCAATGAAAATCATGAAAGCTAAAAATCTGTTTTTTTCATCTATTCACAATTATCAGAAATGCTTATAAGTTGCTATAAGCTCATCTTCAAATAATCACATCATTAGAATAAGCTTGAAAGCAATAATCAGATTATAAAAAAATCTAAATATGGTACCTAGATGTAAATATAAAAATAGAACAGTTTTGAAGTGGTGATCTAAAAATTAAAAACCACAAGCCACTTCTCCAGAAGCAATGGATGACCCAGAAAAAAGGCGAAATTAAAATTCCTCAGACTTATAAGATGTATAAGTCTACAGGATATGCTAATAAAATTAGCCAGAAACAAAGTTGTAAAAAATTACACTTATCAAAACCTTACCTGACATTCTTTTTAGATTACTATCATGTTTTGTTCTCTCTGAAATTTTTCCTGCTGTGGAAATGCCAAGGGTTTTATTTTAATAAATTACAGAATAGGACTTGTACTATTACTTTGAAATGTAGAGTGATTTTATAAGTAGATTGTTAGGAGCAGAGCAGGAAAAGCTCCAGAGCAGGGGTCAGAGGCTCTGGAACCATGTGGGGCTGCATTTCAGCCAAGTTAACTTCTCTAGCCTCTTCATCTGTAAAATGGGGATAATGTTACTTAACATGTAGGGGTCTTGTGATAATTAAATAAAATAATGTATGTAGAACACTTAGTATACAGCCTGAATAACATATAAGCTCTGTAGAAACAAAATAGTGAAAGAGACAGGAGTGCTGACATGGACAAATCTAGGTTCAAACCCTGCCTCAGTTTCTTACTAGATGTGTGACCTTGGGCAGATGATTAAGTTTTGGGTCTCAGGTTCCACATCTATAAAATGAGAATGGTATCTCATATACTGGAGCCTCTTTATAAACCATACACGTGTGCCTGAGATAGCTAGTTGCCTAACCCATATTCATTTTCCTTTTTTTTCCTAATAGAACCCACATTTTATTGAGAGAAGTAACGTAGCTAGTTAACAAACCATACTTTTCCAAGTCTCCCTGGCTGCTAAAGGTAGCCAGTGAGCCATAAGCATAACCTCAGTTTAAAAGCATTCCCTCTGTGCATTTCTCCCTTTCTCCCTTCTTCCCGCCTAGAATGCAGTTATGACAGCTAGAGCTTCAGCATCTACTTTGTGACATGAGGCAACCCATGGAAATGGAAGCCATAATCTAAGGACTGTGAAGCAGAAAGACAGAAGGATTCAGGATCCTTTAATGACTCTGAAGTTGTGATGCCAGCTCTGCCTATTTCTGGACTTTAAGTGAGAGAAAAAAAATAAACCTTTATCATATTTAAGCCTCAGTTATTTGGATTTACTGTTACATGTGAGTAAACTGAATGCTCATGTAATTTTTGTACAGTTTCTAAGCCAATGCTTAGCACATGATAGGGTTCAACAAGTTCTTAATAATCCAGTAACCTCTTTGTTTCAGTTTCTTCATCAATGGGTATAATATTAGTATGCCTGTGCAGATGAACTATTATGAGGACTTAAAAAATTTCTACATAATTGTACAGTATTATTATTAATAATCCATCTGAGCCTATCCCTCCTGGCTAAACAAATGATCACCACTTACTTTAGGGAAAGAACTCTAATAAACAGACAAAAATCAGTCAAAATTCTGGATATGAGGCCCCCAAAAGAGGTTCCTTTGCTATACCCCAAAGTGAAAAGGTCTCTGACCACACATAAAGGGTTGAAAGCCACAGTCAGAACCACAGCTTTTTTTCCCTCTGCATTTTTTGAATGAAGCCCCGCCCACATTACCTCCATGCTGCCCCTTAGACGGAGTAGACACCACTGCCCTGGGAACAAAGTTTAGACAAAAACAAATTTCTTCCTTCCCACAGTGTTTCCAGCAAAATGCTCTCATTGGCTGAGAACTTTCAGAGAGCTATATAGGAAGCTTTTGGAACAAGAGTTAGCGTTTCTTCTGATTTGGATTTGTATGCCATCCTCCAAAAAAAGAGCAAATAGAAGAGATTCCTATTCATGATTATACAAAAATTAATGTCAATGAAGTATGATGATATTTTTAATATGCACTTTACCACACTAGGATGACCCTTACAATTGTAACCACACAAAAGCTATCATTTTAAGTTGATGCCTACACACCAAGTACAAAGATATGTACCCTGATTATTAAATGAGCAACTGTCGACTGGCCAATACAAATAAAAACAAAAGCATCCTTGTTAAATAATAGACATTTTTACAGGGATTCAAACTTGTTCCCACAGTGACAAAGTCTCTTTGGTTCAAATCTCGTGTGTATCCATCCAGAGGCATTAGTTTTGATGACTGTAACTCAAATGGCTCCAAGAAGCCTTACCTGCCGTGGTGTACAGATGCAGTAGTGTTTGCACTGATTGGTGCAGGGCAAGAAGAGGCAGGTTGCCACTTGCTGCCCCGAGAGGTAGATGAACCAATGGTAATGGGTGAGGTAGCAGGAGATGAATTGCGATTGGCTGAAATGTAGGGACTTGTGGGGTCACTACTTCTACCAAAGGAAGCACTGCAAAACAGTACACAGTCACTTTCTTCAGGACGTGCTGCTCACCCACCATTTCCCAGCACCACCTTCCGCCCCCAAGATTGTGCATTAAAAGGAATGTAGACCAAAGAGAGGGTATGGCAACTGGGAAGTGGAGTGATCAACTCCAGCTAGAGTTGGGTCACTGGCAGCAAGCAGGCATCTGTCAATCATCCAAAAGAGTGAAGGAATGGGGAGGAGAGAGAATATGCAATAAGAGAAAGCAGAAGAGTCTTATATTGGAATAGAATACAGGCTAAGGAAAAGAAATATTAGGAAATAGGACAATTGTATTAGAAAGAGTAATTCCCAACAAATTCCAAGGCAAAAAATCATGCAACCCCAAATGTCTACCTGATACAGAAACAGCGCTGCAAAAACTAAAGTAAGACCAAAAAGTTGGAGAGGTTTTGAAGTAGAAACTTAAAGAGTGGAAAGGAATAAAAAAGCTCTGTGGGGGAAGAATGTCTCTGAGAACTGTGGGTATTATTTAGCCTCAAACAAACCCCTCTTTGGGAGGATTCCAAGGTTGAAGTCTAGAAAGTAGTATTGCACGGGCAATAGAAGGCAACTTTTCTTTGTTTCAAATGAAGATAAGTAGAAACCACCTCAACTGAAGCAAAAAAATTACTTGAGTTGGAACTTCTTTTTAAAAAAACTCCTTGACTATTATAGTAATGACACACTAGAGGTGACCAAAACAAGCTATGAAGTCTTCTTTGGTAATGATGCATTTTACAGGGACAAAGGAAAGGAATTTCTGCCTAAGGACAAGAGATGAACTAGAAAATGGAAAGTCTGCTGAGGTCCAGCACAGCCCAAGGCTGCCAAACACCTTCTTGTACTTTCTTTTTAAAATAGTGATAGCATACAATTCTTCCCTTTTGAAATGATCATAAAATGAGATTTTATACAATCAAAAAATGCTTATGGGGCACCTGGGTGGCTCACTGGGTTAAGTGTCTGACTCTTGATTTTGGCTCAGGTCATGATCTCATCATGATCTCATGGTTCACGGGACTGAGCCCTACATTGGGCTCCATGCTGACAGTGAAGAAGCTGCTTGGGATTCTCTCTCTCCCTCTCTCTGCCCCTCCCCCACTCACACACACATGCACTCTCTTTCTCTCTCTCTCTCAAAATAAATAAATTTTTAAAAATGCTTAAAGGGTGATAGAGGTTTGGAATTCCAAAGCATGAAGCAAGTTGTAGATTTTTTTTCAAAAAGCACTCACATAGTTAAGCATGTTTTCCACCCTAAACAGGGGCAGTCCCTTTCTCTCCTGTTTGCCATAATTATGCCAAACTACATCTAACCAGATGCTACTAACTCAATCCATTTGCTAACGATTTGGATCATGAAAAAGAACAACCATACCCTACCACAGTGTAACTGGGTGCTTGGAAATTAAAAGGCAGCTTTCTCTTTCCTAGATCTAGAACACTGTTGTCTTAGAAAAGTTTTCTTGGTCTTGGATGCAACCATGAAAAGTAATAATGTATCTAGATGGATTAAGGCCATAGCCTTGAAGACAAATAGGTGACAGTTTTATTGAACCAAAAAACACTGGATTTGTATATAGAATAAAGCTTCAGTGAAATCACTGAACTATACATGTATACTTTCAAAGTTGAGCCTTTTCTTACAGGATGTGTCTGCAGAACTGAAGACCGTTAAAAGGCAGCAGTAGCTGTTTGTTTTATAGCTTACTAGTTCCCATGTTCTTGTATTAACTAGTTGATAAGATTCTTCTGATCAAGTGGAAATGAGTTTTGAACCCAAATACATAGTTTATAACAAAAGGCTGTTTCCAGGGCAGCAAACCAATCATCTATGCAACCGAATGATGAGGCCCATGGCATGAAGAGGCAGTGGAGGGGCTGAGTAAATGAAAGTGAAGAAAGAATTCAAAGTAAGCAATGAGAATCAGATTCTTCCATATCAGCAGCAAAGTTCAAATTAAAATACTAATTAAGTGTATCTTATAGCTTAATGGCTCTGGCAAAGGTGCTTTGCTTGCTGGCTGGTACATGGCAAAGAAATAATTGCAGAAAAGACAAAATAGATGAGAAAAGGGGAAGGAAACCCAAGTACCTTCTCTGCACCAAACTTGCGAGTTTCTCATCTTGATGGATCTGGGGGCCATTAAAGTCATAAAAAAAAAAAAAAACTCAAGTCCCTAAATTAACAGGCTTCAATATGAAACTTCTTTAATGCAATACAAAACTGTCCCCATTACCCACCCCCCTCACCACCCTAGAGGGTCCCTCCCTTCCTCCCCACGAAAATATAACTTGAGATGAGAACTACTCTAGTTTTAGAAAAAGGAAAACTAGCTACTGGACAAAGGTGATTTAAATTCAGTCCTACTCAGAGATTACTAGAAGTCACTTCCAGTTGAAGATTTTAATAGGACTGAGAGGAGAGAGCATAAATTCAGACCTGTCTGTGGTGAGAATTTGGAATTAGCTTATTTTAATTCAGTTAGGAAAATAAATTATTATGTTAATTTAAAATTAGTCAAGATGTTACTCCCAGGAAATCTAAAAGTAATTCATTTTTTTTGATTCATTTTTGTGGTGCTAATTGGATGTAAAACAGCATGCAATTATTACCCATATACCCATGGCTGGAGTGAAGAAAAATCATCTCCCACCCCTGGGAGCCTGGTACCTTTTCAAGTAGGTTGATACATAGGTAGAAGGAGCAATTGTCTGCGGAGTTTCCCTTCCCTTCGCTTCATCCCTCCACAGCTGCCGAGTATAGGACCCACTCCTTACTAGATTGACAGCTGATTCTCTGCAGAGGCACGAAAGAAAAACAAAACAAAACACTGATTCCTACCACTAATTTCACCCATGATACAATGCAAACTGCGAGAGAAGAGCCAGAGAGGGAAACTGTAATATGGCTGAAGAAATAGATACATTTTCAAGTGATACTGTGTTTTATATACCTGTTTTCTGTATGGCTAGAGGATGAGTCAAGTATTACTGTCTGCTTTCTTTTGTCAACTTCAAAGCCAACTAATTTCAATAGGTACCAAATCCTTATGTTAAAGATCTCCCAATTCTTTTGTAATGAGAAGTCACTTTTGTTTCCTTTAAAGGGTTTTACAAACCAACAGGTTGTTCATAAGTAAGCAGAGAAGAGGATGGTGGGGGAGATGAAGTCTGTCACAGAGAAAGAGGAAACCACCACAGAAAAGGAAACAGAAGAAATTGCTGGAAGCCTACTTAACATTATAAATAATAAGCCCTCCAGGAAAGGATATTATAGTAGGATTTCTAATCATAATTGTTCCCTCGGGGCTGAGGCTACAAAAGCTGTGGGCCTCCATCTTTCACAGAGCTCTCCAGAATAGTTCTTCTCAAACTTGAATGTGCACGTGAAGGGCCCAGAGAATTTTGTTAAAATGCAGACTCTAACTCAGTAGGTCTGAGGTGGGGCCTGAGATTCTGCATTCCTAACATGCTTACAGATGGCAGCAGTGCGGCTGGTTGGGGGGACCACACCTCGAAACGCAAGGTTCTAGATGAGGCTCTGCTCCGAGACACAGCAGTACTTCAAAATCCTCACATTCACTTTAACTGATGAGGAAGACTTGAAATCTTATCTACTTACAAATTAGAGGCTGATCATTCATTAAAGAATACTATTTTTGGTGTTTACCATGGAACAGGTCATGTGCTAGCCACCAGGGGTCCTTGAAAAACTGGACAGACATAACCCTAAAATGAATTCACCCTTGGAAGGGTCAGGGAAGACTTCCTAAAGACAGTAATATCTAAGCTGAAGTGAGAGCCTGAAGGGTGAAGAACTGGCAAAGCAAGGGACTAAGGGTTGGGAGGTGTTCTAAGCAGAAGGAAGAAACAGTTCGTAACATGCTAAGGGCACCTGTGAAAAGACAGCAGCAGAGAGATGGCCAAGACATCACTATGCCCAGCAAAGTTAAAGAGGACCGTCGTTTGGCCTGTATTAGGATTACCTGTTCTCCTTTTCTTCAATGTCACTTGTGCTGCTGAGCCTCCGGGGTGCTAGTGAACTAAAATAGCTCTTGTTTTCTCTCTCCTGTAAAATCAAAACAAGCACAGAGAAGGGACAATACAACACTGATTCAGTGTAACATCTTGGGTAAACAGCAGAGCTTAACATATATATATAATCTTATTTCTGTATCTAATACCAATTCCGGTTTGAGTGGTATGACAAAAGATTAGCTTTCAAAGGCTAATTCTTATTTTTTCTCCATTAAAAACCAATACGTAGGGAAATGATTGTCATGGGAAAAGCCAGGATGATCAAATAAGGAAAACGGCAGCACAAATTACACACAGCAGCAGCCTTGCCAAAAGAGACGGAGCCTTTGAAAAACCACAGCCAGAAAGCTCCCCTCTAAAGTTCTTGATGAAATAAGTCTTATTTCTTCCCCAGTCTATCTTCTCTTGGAAATGTGGCTTCACGTACAACAAATATGCTGCAGAGTTAATCCAGCCGATATACCTCACCCCCCTGGTGGAGTCTCCAGAAATACAACATCGAGCAAAGGAACCAGGATTACAAGAAGACCTGACCCCAGAGAAGAGCATCAAGTGAGCCCTTGAAAATCTGGAACCAAAAGATAAGAAATAAAAATGTACTGATCTTGGATGATTATGTAGATGAGCTGTTTGTGAAGTTAGCCTGATCATATATCTAGTAATGAAAAAAATAAGACATTTAAACATTTTTCTTTAAGTGCTAATTTGCCTGAGCTTCATTAGGATCGAAAACCTGGCTAAGGAACTTTGCTTCTAAACACTGAAAGGATATATTACTGGTATTGGCTTAAGGGAGTCTTTTAGGCCATATCCAAATTTTTAGGTTCTAATTTTCCCCCCTAGGAAAGGAGGGTAAGGAAGAATGAACAGAAGTTATGCCAAAAGGTAAAGGTTTGTTTTTTTTTTTCTCTTTTTTTGGCTGAGTAATAATAGCAAACAAATAGCTAATTGATTAAACTACCAATGTGCCATCTCTTTTTAAAGACTTTGTACTTCCAGAATCAAATCAGGGACCAGAAAACACTTTCATGTGTTCCTATGACTGAGTTTTCACAGAAGGGAACCGCCCAGGAATTCTCCCATATGCTGCCTAAACCACACCTTCTCTTTGTTGTCCAGCAGAGCAGAAATCCGAGGGCTTGATGATGACCGGTAGATGGAAGAGCCTCGGTCCCTTAGGGCTTCTCTGGAATTGGCCACCTCACTCAGCATGTTGTGGCTGCCAGTTTTTCTGAGTCCCAGTCTCCATGAAGAAGGAGATTCATCTTTGGGCTCTTCCGGCTTGTTAAAAAGGCTGGAGGAGAACTATGAGGGGAAAAGCAAAGAAAAGAAAAGGGGGGGATAGGGGAGGTCCTGATGATTCTTTTCAGCCTGTTTGTTTTTTCCCCACACTTAACTAAGTTCAGTGAGGCAATATAAGGCAGTTCAAGGAGAACAAATACATAGGAGGCTTTCTGCCAATGTTCCCCTCCTCACCTGGCAGATGCTAATAACCTCTCAAGGCTCCCTTTCTCCCTGAGCCAGAAATAACCTCAGATTCTTAACACAGACAGAGTTGCTCTCTGAGAAATTAAACACTATTTGCTCTCTTAGCAATGAGTACTGACCTAGAACACCAGGACATCCACATTCTAGTAAAAGCCATTTCTCTTGCTTGACTCACTATGTAACTAACTGAAAATAGGACATTTTACTTCTCTAGGTCTCAACATGCTCATCTACAAAACGGTGATAATGAGCTTAATTCCTTCTTATAATATGTGGAGACCAGAAAACACAGATGAGCCAATGTATAAATATGCTTTAAGGTACCATGATAAGACCATGGGAAACTGATGTAAGTTAATACTAATAAAGATACTAAAAGCTGCTCTGCTCAAATTCTAATCGCTTATTTCAAGAAAATAGTTTATTTGATCTTGGCCATGTGTTTCAGATTTCACCGAGCAGCCAAATTAAAAAGAAAAAAAATAGTAGAAGTCACAGAGTTGCCATCTTTTAGATTGTTGCCAGGAGAACATCTTTCAAAACATCATTACCATTTCCATCACCATCATTTCATTAAAAAAAGAAAAACATTTTAACATCAGAAAAGAAAGCTTTCTGGAGGGGCGCCTGGGTGGCTTAGTCGGTTAAGCGTCCAACTTTCACTTAGGTCGTGATCTCACGGTTCGTGGGTTCGAGCCCCGCGTCAGGCTCTGTGCTGACTGCCAGCTCAGAGCCTGGAGCCTGTTTCAGTCTGTGACTCCCTCTCTCTCTGACCCTCCCCTGCTCACGCTGTCTCTCTCTCTCTCTCCTAGAAATAAATAAAAAAAAAAAAAAAGAAAGAAAGAAAGCTTTCTGGAAAGCTTACAGGGTCTCTAATGATCTCATTTTATCAGGAAGTACAGAGAGCATCATAGACTTCGTGTTAGCCTGATGACCAGCCTGGAGTACAAGTGGTCTTTACAGCATCAGCCCACAGTCCTTCCCTGGGATTGGGGGCCCCTCTGCAAGTCAGCTGTGGTCCTTCTCCAGGTATGAGGCCACCTTTATTGCCTGGAGTAGTGAAAATGCAACAGAAACACTAAATCACTCATCTCCAGCTCACACTCAGATTTTCTCTTTTTAATTAGTCGTCTGAATGTACGTCCCCCTTCCAGCTTTAGAGGCTCAATCATCTCAACTCTTTACAAGTCACCCTGATTCTGAGAAGAAAAGTGCTTTTCCCAGCATTATTTTAGCAAAGTGGAATAAGTCTATGTGTATATATATAATATTATTATATATGCCCAATGTGGGGCTTGACCTCATGACCCTGAGGTCAAGGGTCGCATGCTCCACCAACTGAGGCAGCCAGGTGCTCATATGTTTTTTTTTTTATTTAGTATTTTTATTTTATTTATTTATTTTTTAGATGTTTATTTATTTTTGAGAAAGAGAAAGAGAAAAAGAGGAGGAGGAAAGGGCAGAGAAAGAAAGGGACAGAGGAGCCCAAGTGGGCTCTGTGCTGATAGTAGCAAGCCTGATGCAGGGCTCAAACTCACAAACTATGAAGTCATGACCTGAGCCAAAGCTGGATGTTCGACCAACTGTGCCACCTAAGTGCCCCAATTTAGTATTTTTCCTTTTAAAAATAAAACAAGAAGTCTAGTTACACCTAGAAACAGTGGGAGTATGTGAGGTACAGCTAAATGACCGGATGATGAGTGATGTTTCTATCTGAAACATCTCTACGGATTCACAATGATGCTCTTAGGAATAAATAAGTAACCAAACCTTTGTTTCCTCATCTTCCTATGATATGACAGTGATATTATAATCCTGTCTTTTCAATTCATGAGGTACTAAGAAGATCAGTAAGTTACTATCTATAAAACCACAGAGTTCTTTCATTAGCTTTCTTCCCAAGAACTCAGATCAATTCTTAACCTCAAAACTAACGGTATATTTTGTAAAGCAGAGTAATTATTCAACTCTGTCTCTGACTAGAAGCCCACAGCTTTTCAGAGGCCTGGACCAAGTTGCAGGAAGATGTGTCTCTGGTATTTCAACAAGTTCTTCCTATCTCTGCTCTCTACTCATCATAAACTATAAAGACTTTACTTATTAAACTAAAATTTTAAACAAGAAGAAAAGGACAGAAGTCCTCAAATCAATTAATTCTGAATGCTAGATATATTCCCCACCCAGTCTGAGATTTATGTATACTTACCTTAGCCTTAGATATGAAGAAAATAGGCAACTGACAAAATATCTTTGGTCCAGATTACTATATCCTATGTTATCTAATCACATTGTAGCCAAATTTGTTTGGTGATGGATTCGTCGTTTTTGTGAGCAATGTTAACAAATGTAATATATGTGCCCACCCCCAATTCCACACCCTGAAGCCCTAATCCTCAGTGTGACTGCACTTGGAGATAAGGTGTCTGTCCACAAACTAGGAAGAGAGTCCTTACTAGGAACTGAGTCAGCTGGCACGGTGACCTTGGACATCCTAGACTCCAAAATTGTAAGAAATAGATTTCTATTATTTAAAGCCACCTGGTTGGTGGTATTTTGTCATGGCCCTAAGCGGACTAAGACAGGCAAGATCTATCTGAATTATTTGGCAAGAATGTATCTCTAAGGCCTTTCAAACTGTTTGTTAGGATAGTAGGACAAATATAATTTTCAAATTAATTCCAAAATACTCACTCTCCTAGCTGAAGAGGCAGAGAAGGTATTCTGAGCTGGTGGTGGTATCTGTTCCGTAATAATACTCTTGCTTTCAGAGTTGGAATGGTTGTCAATGGCTTCTGGCTTTTTATCTATTATTTAAGACAAGAGAAGCAACAAGGGCAAGTATGAAAATCTTATCTGTGTATATGTATGTACTTTTCTGCTAACAGAAATGGTTTACCCATTATCAAAACAGATTAGTAGGGCTATGTAATGCTTAGACTCAAACTAAAATGAAGTCTCTAGCAAATGTTGCCAAAAGGAAATAAATTCAATGGTATTCCTTTGTTGGTAGGCTCTACTTCCTTGATATACAACTGAAAACTTTCTCCATATTATGTATCATATATAAAATTTATCAGTATGTATATACTAAGAATCTACTCTGTTTTGGGAGTTTGGGCAGGAAAAACCAGATAGATCTTGCTTTCTAGGTAATTACAAACAAGAAAAGATATAAGATGCATAATAACAATAGCAACAACATAAGCTCATATATGTTAGGTGCCAAACTGGTTGAGTCAGATTAAACAGGGCTTTATGAGTTCAGAGTAAATCCTCTCAGGGAAGAAACAACAAGGAAAGATGCCATAGAGAAAGCTGGAAGACAAATACCAATTGGCAGGAGGAAGAAAGGATATGAGTAATGACTCTGAAATCAAAATATATACATCTGTTGGTCAGTAAATTTAAGTCTAAGCAGGACTCATTTAAGCAGGCTTAATTAAAGTAAGGAGTTTCCTTGGGATTACAATAGGAAATAAAGGTAGAAAGAATTACAGAGGATTGTAAATTAAGCCACAGAACTACAATTGGTGAATCCTCTTAATAAACAGGAACAGTCCATCTTACAGGGCCATCAGGTAGAAATATTGTCTGTCTCCTTCACTGTTATATATCAGATAGCCAGTACAGTGCCTACACCTCGTAGGTGTGCTGGGGCTTCTAATCTATGTAGTCTGGAAACAGAGTCCCAGGGTAATCCACTTATGAATTATGTGACAATTTTAAGCCACATCTCAGCTGTGTGACATTGGGCAAATTACTTAACATATACGAACCTCTATTTTCTCACTGACTAATCAGGAATTTAATTCTTGCCTATGAGTTGCTCTAAAGACTGGAGACAAGGAGCGCCTGGGTGGCTCGGCTGGTTGAGCATCCAACTTCGGCTCAGGTTATGATCTTAAGGTTTGTGAGCTCAAGCCCTGTATCAGGCTCTGTTCTGACAGCTCAGAGTTTGGAGCCTGTTTCAGATTCTGTGTCTCCCTCTCTCTCTGCCCCTCCTCCTGCTCTATCTCTCTGTCTCTCAAAAATAAACAAACATTAAAAAAAAAAAAAAGACTAGACACAATGACTTTAAACTGAACAGCTCATGGGACACCTGGGTGGCTCAGTCGGTTGAGCGTCTGACTTTGGCTCAGGTCATGATCTCATGGTTCATGGGTTTGAGCCCCACATCAGGCTCTGTGCTGACATCTCAGAGCCTGGAGCCTGTCTTCAGATTCTGTGTCTTCTCTCTCCCTGACCCTCCCCTGCTCATGCTGCCTCTATCTCTCTCTCAAAAATAAATAGAACATTTAAAAAAATTAAAATAAACTGAACAGCTCAATGTCTGGCCATAATGAGTCCCTAATAAATAGTTATTATTATTAATGCTATCATTTTTTTGTGGTTATTGTGAATATTCAAGGCATTCTTTAAGTATTATCTGAGTATCTATATCCCCAGGAAACAGACCTTACTAGCCAAATGCAACAGATCATTACAGTAAGAAACTCCCAATGAATCTATACCCCTGTGTAGTGGCCTCTCAGATTGATTCTGGGTTTGGTAGTGTGACTTTCTATGGCCACTGGGACATCAGCAAATGTGACATATAAGCAGAAGCTTGGAAAGTGCTTGTGCACTGAATCTTGCCTTTTCTACTTGCAGAATCCAACTACCGTATGAAGACGCAGGGGCTAGTCTCCTTGATGATAAGAGAAACACTTGCTTCAAACATCCTAACCGAACACCAGAAAGGTGAGAAGGCCACCCAGGACCAGCCATCCCCCAGCTGACTTACCAAATGACCACCAACACATAACAAAGTCCAGTATTATTACATGGAGGAGAGAAAAACCATCCTAGTGAAGCCCTTCCCAAATTGCCAACTCATAGAGTTGGGTCCATAAAAACGGTTGTTTAAGCACCACTAAATTTGGGGATGGCCTGTTATTCAGCAATAGATAACTAATACACCAAATGTTTAAGCCAAATAAATGAAAGAAGAAAATAGAACTCCAAATCAAACTGCTTACATTCACCTCAAAATAGAATTAGTATTCTTTACAAATACAATTTATATGTAAGACATATGAAACATGTTATTTTATGGACCTTTAAAAACAGGATCAATGCAAAAACAAATCCAGGATAAATGCATTCAACAAATACTTGTTCAGTACATACATAAAGTGTCAGGCATCATTTGGAAAAGTTTAGACATAATCCAGTTCCCCAATTTCTCCCAACATATACTTATATATATTTATTGAGCACCCACTATGTAGAAGGAAGGCCCTGTGCTAGGCATCATGGAAGACAGAAAGATAAACAAGACACACAATACATTTCAGCGCTTCCCCAGTTGGTAGGGGAAGAACAGAGAAGATGAGAAAGAAATGGAAATAACACTAAGTAGTGTAAGTAATATAAAAGAGATTCAGACACATAGCTAGCTGTCAGAGGAGGGAAGAAAAACTTGTATCTGTGACAATAAGGCTTCATAAAGGAAGTTGATTTGAGCTGGGCTTTGAGACATGAGTAAAACTTCAACTGGCAGAAATGAGCAGGATAGCTTGCTGGGTGGGACCATCTGGTTTCTGCCTCCATCAGGCTCCTAAACTGCTGAAATTACCAGTGTATTGCTGTCTCTTTCTTGATCTCTCCCTTCCCACTACTACCCTGGCTTTTCTGTTTTCCTCAAACTTTATGACCATACCTTCTTTGCCTCCTTTACTTCCTAAACACACCATTCTTTTTTTTGTAACATCTTTTCTCTATCATCTCTCCCTTGGGAAATCTCATTTTTTTTTCACAGCTTTAGCTTTCACTTTTTAGGCAGATAATTTCCTTTTTTTTTAATGAATATAATTTATTGTCAAATTGGCTTACATATAACACCCAGTGCTCATCTCAACAAGTCCCCTCCTCAATCCCCGTAACCCATTTTCCCCTCCCTCCCATTTCCACATCCACCCTAAGTTTGTTCTCTGTATTGAAGAGCCTTATGTGGTTTGCCTTCCTCCCTTTCTGTTTGTAACTATTTTTCCCCCATTCTTTCCCCCATGGTCTTCCATTAAGTTTCTCAAGATTCAGGGGCACCTGGGTGACTCAGTTGGTTAAGTGTCCGACTTCGGCTCAGGTCATTATCTCACAGGTTCATGAGCCCTGCGTCAGGCTCTGTGTTGACAGCTAGCTCAGAGCCTGGAGCCTGTTTCAGATTCTGTATCTCCTTCTCTCTCTGACCCTCCCCTGCTCATGCTGTCTCTCTCTCTATCTCTCTCTCTCAGAAATAAATAAAAAATTAAAAAATATATTTAAAAATCCATATATGAGTGAAAACATATGATATCTGTCCTTCTCTGACTGACTTATTTCACTCAGCATAATACCTTCCAGTTCCATCCACGTTGCTGCAAATGGCAGGATTTCATTCTTTCTCATTTTAGGCAGATACTTTCCACATTTCATTCTGCCTCTGCCACTCTGAGGAGTCCCAGATCAAAGTCAGGATCTTAGACATGCCACTTGCCAAGTATTAGACCCAATCTGCCTAACCTCCTACAGGGTCAATTTCCCATAATAACACATTGGTGATGACACGTACCTCAAAGTGTGGTTGTAAATGCATTGCAGAGTAAAAGAGCACTACACAAATGTAAAGTGTTGTTATAATCCCTCAAACTAAGCACAATCTTTCTTTTTTAAATTTAAATGTGTACTTATTTTTAAGAGAGATAGAGAAAGAATAGGAGCAATAAAGAAAGAAGTGGAAGGAGGGGGTGGGGAGAGAAGATCCAAAGCGGGTTTTGTGCAGACAGGAGAGAGCCTGATGTGGGGCTCAAACTCGCAAACTGTGAGATCATGACCTGAGCTGAAGTCACACCCTTAACCCACTGAGCCACCCAGGTGCCTAAATACAAAATACAATCTTTCTCACTAGTGAATACCACTGACTATACTTATCTCTCTCATGTGACATGTATTTGATTCATGTATCTGCCTTCCTATTCCCCTGTATCTCCTAGATGTGTTCAGCAAAAGCATTTAATGAATGTGAATGCTTAGCCTCTGCCTGGCATCTCACAGAGACCCAGGAGTAAATGATAACCTAGAGTTTCCAGCCGAAATGAGGAGTGCAACAAAGGAGATAAGCAACAAGTGTTAGAGGGATGCAAACAGGGGAGCAATTATCATGGGGTGGGAGAACAGTGAAGTGGTCCATTCCTTTTCAGCTTCTTATACAGGAAAACCTGAAGAAAGGCTTCTTCAGTGTGGTAAATCGCATAGCTTCTGACAGAAATCACTCAATAAACATTTGATGACCAGAAATGAATTCAAAGACACAAATAAATGTTCAAGGGAAGAAAAACTCAAGGCATGTTTATGGAAACCAAACAATCCAGTTTGGCTCATTGATGATGCTGCCTAGGCCCTGGACAGCACTGGAAAGGTGAGCTGGAGATGGAGTATGAAAGATCTTGAAGGTTAGGCTACAGGGTCTGGGACTTGCTCTACAGGCAAAGACACGAGTGAGGAAGGTGATCATAGATAGTTTCTGAACAGGGGTGTAGCATAATCAAAAGGGTGCTGTGGGTGTTTTACTCCAACAGCAATGTAGAGATGGGCTGCAGGGCACCAGAGACCTGAGGCATGGGTACATACCACAAACCAATTATAGTAGTTCACACAGCTCCCTGCCATTCTTCTAATAGCTTGGAAGCTAACAAAGTGATCTAGCACAGAGCAAGACCAGATAGTAATACCTGAAACCTAAGACATGTAAGTACTCAAAAAACAATAAAAACATAAAAAAGACGAATATATATAAATTTTGACAGGTACTACACCAAGATTTCCAGAGTAGGCTGTACCTGCTTAATAACAGAAATACAAGGCTCCATGAGTAAAAGATCATCTCCTATGCTACCAACTTAGCTGGTGTTTATCTTTTCTACACAATCAATGGTTCTCTAATTGCCTTTGGTGACATTCAGTGAGCTAATACTAATACTACTAACACAAGTCTGTGAGTGCAGGACCCATGTACAGTAAAATCTTAGTTATCACTAACTTCTAATTATCCATGAGAGCTATTCTGTTGCAGTTGAGCCTCTATTCAGTAAAACCCAGTATTTCTTTCCTCGACATTTGCCTGACTATATATCAAAACCTATGGGTGATTTTATAGCACGTTGATCTGACCATGTTAAGCAGCTCGCTCTCACTGTTGGGCTTCCTGTCTTGCCATATAATAAACTCAAGAAGTACCATATGAAGCACATATAATTAAGAGTCAATAAAGGTAAACGATTTTGTTCCTTTTTCAATCTTCAGCTCGGGAACTGAAGGAGCTTCACATAATCAGAAGGAAAAATAAAAAGGTCTTGGGATTCTGTTTAGGGAATCAGATGAACCTGAAAACTAAATGCAAATTTTCACCAGTTGGTTAAAGATACCTGACCAAATGTGCTTCTGCAAGATTTCCTCTCCTCAGTCTCCTAGCTACTGAATTCTGGAATATGGTCTCTCCATCCTACCAGCCCAAGGTCAGACCGATGGCTCCTTTGCACACACAAGAATTTTTTGTATATGTAGCCTTATCATATGGCTACATAGAAACTGGTAACTATTCTATTCTAATATAGCTCACTTCTGTTCTAACATAGCTCACAACTTCTACAACCAAGTTGTTACTCAAAATTTGATATCTTATCTTTGAAAACTAAACTTAAAACTCTTTTTGGAGTCCTCTGAGGCCTCCTGGCTGTGATGAGCCATGATCTCCTTGCATTATGGAAACAGGGTCTTTGCTATCAACATCTTTGCATTACCTGCCTCCTTCTCGGTTTCTGACTCAGAAGCTTCATCTTCACCTTCCTCCTCCTCTGAGCTGGAGCTGCTGGACTCTTTGTTTTCTTCCTCCATCTCTTGGGACTTGGGTATCTCTTCTTCGTAGAGCATCTTCTCTTTGCTAAATTAAAGAAGATGATGTGAGTGCAATTCAGAACTGGCAAACTATTTAAGTTCACTGACAATCAAGCATAAAGAGAACAAGTCTATAAACCTCTGTTAGAAGCGATAACAGAAATACATCAAATCCTTCTAAATTCCAAATACTTTTGAGTCCTTGGGCTTTTGCAGACTAAGGTTTAGTATCTGACTTCAGAGTATGACTTAAGTAGATTTCACCTGTTCAACACACAGGAAAAAGGAAGGCTGTAAATCTTGACGGTGATGATGCAAGCAAATATGTTTTAAAAGTCATTTAACAAATGTTTACTGGGTACTTATTACATGCCAGAAATTATGCTTGGCCCTGGTATGGTAGTGAACAAAACACACACGGTCCCTTAGTTCACAGAACATATAGTTAGGGATGCAATGAGGACCAGGAACTCCTAAGCTAAAGGGGAAAATGTTGCACACAGTCTCGATTAATTTCTAAATTTAAAACACATTCGCCCATCCTCGGTGTTTCCCCATATCTCAATGCCACCTCCTTGCTCCTCAAACGTTCAAATACAGTTTCTTTACTGTATAAACTCTTAAGCTAAGTATGTCACACACACACACAGCACCCACACACAGCAGAGCTCATCACATTTCTCAAGCTCTGAATGTCTTACTTCTTAAAGAGTCCACTCTGCAACTTGCTGTTCAGATCTGACTCAATGAGCTTATTTCGTGTCTCTTTTTCACTGCGAAGCTGGAAATTGAGAAAACAGTGGGAAAAGAGAAGAAGCTGACTATCGGTAAAAGTTAGCAGCAATGAGAACTCAAAATGGCACTGTCATTCTTAAGAAGACAGGACCAAAACCAAAAGGGGAAGAAAGAACTGAGAAAAAGAGAAATACATCAGTTGGGTCTCCTTAGAAGACAATGACAGAGAAACATCCTCATCCAAGGTAAGAGAGAAACCATGGTGTGAGAGGTTCAATAAAACTGCCCATATGAAATATCCAAACCCAATCTTCCAAAAAAGCCTGGCCTCTCGGGGCATTTGACTGGCTTAGTCGGAAGAGCATGCAACTCTTGATCTGGGGGTCATGACTTCGAGCCCCATGTTCGGTATAGAGATTACTAAAAAATAATAATAATAAACTTAAAAAAAAAAAAGCCTGGCTTCTGGTGGATTAGAAAAAAAAAGGAAAGGAACTTTTAAAGAATTCATTATGACCACATACTGCATTAGGTTGTCAGTAGTTCTCAAGGAAAAAATAAACAGGTACTAAAGGGGAAATAAGCAGTGAGAATAAATCACCTGGTACTTAGATACATGCTCTGCACAAAATGTGTTTCTATCCCTGGACCCAAGTTACTCAGGGAACAAAGGTAAACACCATTCCCAGTATAGAATTGTTATTTAGTGAAAACATTATTTATGTTCAGAAACCAAACCATGCTGGGTAAAGGATACACAGAAACTCTCTGTATTATTTTTACAACTTCTATGTAAGTCTAAAAATTATTTCAGAATAAAAAGTTTAAAAAACAACAAAAACCAGGGGTGCTGGATGGCTCAGTCGGCTGAGCGTCCAACTCTTGGTTTCAGCTCAGGTCATGATCTCAAGGTCAAGAGATCAGGCCCCAAGTCGGGGTCTGCACTGACAGAACAGAGCTTGTTTGGGATTCTTTCTTTCCCTCTGTCTCTCTGCCTCTCTCCTGCTCATGCTCTCTTACTCTTTCAAAATAAATAAATGGACTTAAAAAAAAAAACAGCACCATCTCACTATGCAAAGTATACATCTTAGGAAGGTGGCCGCTGCTAAACAACAGCACCAATACTGTGTTTGCAAAGTCCTGAGTTTTAGTTTTGATTCCAGTTGCTCAGCTGTGGTTTGTCTGAGCTGTATGTATACAATTTTCCAATTAAGCCTTGAAGTGATGAGGATCTTCACTTTACCAGTGCAGACGTGGTGCTGAACATGTGCGAGGGAGACATGCTTGGTCTGTCCCATCAGTGAACTATATAGTTCTTTCTTTCAGAACTGCTCTGGGTTTCTCTTATAGGTCCTAACCTTGAGTTCACGTGCCCTGAGCCATAATCATGCAAAGGAAAGCTAGCGATTTTTTTCTGTTCCACTATCTTCAAACATCAGCCCTGATCATCAATAACTCATCTTTATTCTCCTTGCCCAAATTACTCATCCCACTTATGGGTAGAAAATTTACAGCTTGTCTGTATATTGGGTGGGTTTTTTCATTCTGCAGTCTATATGTGGGCGCCACACTTACATAGTTCTCCTATGTAGCACTAAGTAACATAATGGTATGTGCTGCCAAACACATGAGAAGGGAGAAGGGGACTGAATTCTGGATATCTGATGAATACTGAATAAGTATGAATCACTGACCGAGTAGTGTCCAATGCCAAAAGGCAGTTTTAGTTTTGTGGCCTTGTTTGCTTTTTCAGAAAGAAATATATTCCCCTCTGCAGTGAATTTACTTTAAATAAAGATGTCCTTCCAGTCTAAGGGGAGAAAAAAAGTTATGAGATGTCCTCTACCCTCGTACTCCCTATTTAGAAAAAACTGATTTGAACATACCACATTCACTTTCTAAAACTCAAGGGTAATTATTATTTTGTTGTTCTTGTCATTTTGTAAAATAGATTTTATTTTATTTTCTTAATGCTTATTTATTTTTGAGGGGGGGGGGAAACGGGAGCAGGGGTGGAGGGCACAGAGAGAAAGGGAGATAGAAGATCCAAAGTAGGCTCTGTGCTAACAGCAGAGAGCCTGAGGTCGGGCTTGAACTCATGAACCATGAGATCATGACCTGAGCTGAAATCAAGAGTCGGATACTTAACCAACTGGGCCACCTAGGTGCCCCCGTTCTTGTCACTTTTGACTTCCAGCTGCCTGCAGGCTATCTTATAATGAGCAAAATTTAACAACAATGGTTTCTGGGATATCTTGTAACAGACTATTGTTAGTCCCAGAAGGGAACAACTACCATCTCTGAAATGCAGATATGTCCATTTCAGCTCTCCGTAGACAACTAAAACAAGTGATTGAGATATCTGTGGTGCACTGTGATAAAAGCTTTAGAAAGAAATGTTTATTTATTTATTTTTCAGAAAGAGAAAGAGAGAGAGCATGCATGAGTGAGTGCCGGTGGGGGAGGGGCTGAGAGAGGGAGAGAGAGAATCCCCAGCAGGCTCCACTGTCAGCCCAGAGCCTGACTTGGGGCTCCAACCCACAAACAATGAGATCATGACCTGAGCCGAAATCAAGAGTTAGACACTTAACCGACTGAACCACCCAGGCGCCCCCACTGTTACAAAAGCTTTCAAAGCATTGACTGAAGACTCACCACATCCTGCTTCTTCTGGAGCATCTCCAAGTGCTCCACAAGACCCTCATCAGCCACATCAAATGGTGTCTGGCCCTGGCAGAGAAGAGGGGCACCGCGATCAACAGAAAACAGAAGAAGTGATCACACGACTTTATCGGAAAATGATTCAATAATCACTTTATACCTTTGTTCCAATTGATAGCTGCTTCCCTAACGAATCTATTCTCCATTATAATAACGCCTTCAACTAGCACAGAGGAAGAAACAAAACAAGGAACATCAAGTCCTTTAAATACAGGTTTTTATATTTTGTAAAACAGTATTGAGGAAAGCATCTTATTCTCTCTAATGCTTATTGCCTTTTGGCAAATAATCAGTTGAAATTTCCACTTGTACCTGATCTAAAATGGTCTTAATTGCTCTGATAAATTTAATAAGGGACTTTTAAAAGCCTCAGAAGGAGGTTCAGGGGACATGTCATCTCCCTTTAAGTAAGAGAAGGGTATGTCTTTCAGGAAAAGTCAGTACAGTTTAAGATGCTAACCCACAATCTGAGGATGAAAGCTGGGTTCAGGAGAGATGTGAGGCAGGTAAGAACATCTAGTAAGTCAAAAGCCATGTCTCTGGATTCCTAGAAAACCAGTATATGTAGGGATAGGTGTTCCGGGGCTTCTAAAGTTACTTGAAGTGAGGCTGAATAACACCATTTTCAGCCAGACCCAAGGATTTATGTCATTGTAATGTTTTGTCTTTTTTTCAATGATTGGATGTGAGTAGAGCTCAGCTATTAAAAGTCTTTGAATTAAAAATAAAGTAAAATAAAATCTTTCATACTTCACCATAAACAATAGCCTTAAGGACTTCCCAATGCTCATTTTTGCCTAGAGCAAATATCTTTTTTTTCTGTTTATTTTAGGTGCTTCAACATAAGCAGAATCAGAATGCTAGGTGAATAGAGTTTTACTTAACATAGCAAACCTCTCTGTGTTGACAATGAGGCAGGCGGGGAGGGACGAGGATGTGGGAAGCAGAGCCATAGCCACCTGTGATGTATATTTCCCTGGACAGTAAGCCTAGCCATTTTAACTGAGACTTTAAGCTTTTTGTTCGAGAGACCCAGCCACCAATCTCACTGCCCTTTTAGAAGGTCGGGCATACTAACCAGTTTGTTCCTGATATCCATATCACAGAGAGCTTCTGCCAGGATGGAGCAAGCCTCCTTCACACCCCAGTGTGCCGCAGCATGGAGGGGTGTCCAGCCATCATAATCCTGAACGTTGAGTTCATAGCCAGCCTGGATTAAAAGTCTAAGAAGAAAACCCCAAACAAGACATTTATACCCTCTATATTATAGTTTCCTGCCAAATAAACTATCCCCTAAATTGAGATTTCAGATTTTGGCCCTGAAACCACTGGGGTCGTGTGATTGTTTCTGTCCTCTAAGGTACAGCTCAGTTTTCATAGTTACTACACTGAGAACCAATCATGGGTAACAGTTATCAACCCTCTCTGAAAGGTCATATGGCATTTCCCAGGCATACCCACGTTGCACCACACAAGAGAAGTATTTAGAAAGGTGTATACTTTTGAGATTAACCAAAGTCTTATTAAATTTGTCAAACCACATAATTCTGTTACAAGGTGTGTTTTCCACTTCTAGTGCAGGGAGAGAGAAACATGTAGGGTGAGAACCCAATTCTCTTCAGGGCACTTTACTTACTACTTTTCTAGTTGATCTTTCCAGGACCCCGCATGTTTTACTATAGGCTGTCACACTTCCAACTCTGCAAAGCATCTGCAGGGACTTCTTGCTAACTACAAAGCTATAATCTATGTGCAAGGAGGAAGAAACGTAGGACTCCTGAGGCCCCAAACTGCACTGACCTGATTGAGGTTCCCTATACCGCAGGCCTCCAGACACTTTCTAAGAAGTAAGTGTAGAGAATGACACTCATATTCTGCTTACTTCTTAGAAAGTATCTGGAGGCCCGTGATACAAGGAACCTCAATCAGCCCAGTGAAACCCCACAGTGGGTGGAATATGAAGCACTGGAAGAATCTGGCCACAACTACACAGACAGTATATTAGCTACCCATGATTAGGGAAAGCCTGTCAACAGTCAGTACCAAGAGCTACATGGAGCATGTGTGGATGTAAGGAAAAATGGAACAGGCAGAGGAGTAGAGTCTAACTCCCTCATATAAGTTTAACTCTCCTACTCTAGCTGGACACGGCACACTCAAGACCTGTAAAGTTAATCTAAAGAGTCCAAAGAAATGATCTGTGTCCAAAAAGGACCAAAATGACCTGACAGGAACGATTCTGTCCTATATTACATGCCACCGAAGGAGGAGACTGCAGGGAAAGTAATGATAAATCACAGAGCTGAAGAGATCACGTAGAGTCATCTTTTAGGCCAGTCTACCTCAACTCTGCCTGCATGTTAGTGAGAAGCTAAAGTGATAGTAGGAGGGTGGGAGACCATTGGTGGATTAATATCAGCAAGATGTAAGAAGAGACTGCATGATCAGAGAGGAAAACAATAAAGAAGGAAACACAACACAGTTGAAAATCTAATTCAGCCCCTGCTTCCAAAACCCAGCTCATCTTCTCCTGGTCTAGCAAACTCCCGACTGAGGGAAATGGACAATACCTGAGGACCTCAGAGTAGCCCTTGGCAGCCGCCACATGGAGGGCTGTGGCCCCTGAACGAGGCTGCCTTACATCTTCTATTTTCCCACTGTTGAGCCACTGGCGGGCATCCTGTAGCATCTGTTGTTCTTCTTCTTTTCTTGACTGCTCTAGATCAACTCCTGCAGAAACCAGAAAGCCAGCATTACTAAACGTCCACCTAAATCTGGCAGGATGTTTTCCATAGATTCTAAACACATCATAGGGGCACCTGGGTGTATCAGTCGGTTAAGCGTCCAACTTCGGCTCAGATCATGATCTCATGGTTCGTGGGTTCGAGCCCCACATCAGGCTCTGTCCTGAGAGCTAGCTCAGAGCCTGGAGCCTGTTTCAGATTCTATATCTCCCTCTCTCTCTGACCCTCCCCTGCTCACACTGTCTCTCTCTCTCTCCCCCTCTCAGAAATAAATAAAACATTAAAAAATTTTTTGGGGTGCCTGGGTGGCTTAGTCGGTTAAGCGTCCTACTTTTTCTTAGTTCATGATCTCGTGGTTCTTGGGTTCGAGCCCCGCTTCGGGCTCTGTGCTGACTGCCAGCTCAGAGCCTGGAGCCTGTTTCAGTCTGTGACTCCCTCTCTCTCTGACCCTCCCCTGCTCACGCTGTCTCTCTCCTAGAAATAAATAAAACATTTAAAAAAAAAAATTAAAAAAAAAAAAAAAAAACATTAAAAAATTTTTTAAAAATAAAATAAAAAATAAACACACCATAAATAAAACCACAAATAACACTTTAGTCACCAAATTGGGTATTCATCAAATTTACTCTTTATTTAGAAGAGCAATGACATTTATACACATATTCGTTGTTTTACCAGGGTCAAATCATCATTTTAAGGACACTAGTTGGGATGAGCGCTAGGTGTTATATGTAAACCAACTTGACAATAAATTATTTAAAATAAAGTAAAATAAAAAAATAAGCACTGTGTGATGGCAGATCCATTAAAGGAACATACTTCAACTTATTTTCAGTTTTAAGAGCATAAAGACCAAAGGGACATTAGTTTTGTATTATAATAGATGTACAATGCTGTACAATTCAAAGACCTTCTACATGTTATATACCATGTTAGTTTGCCAACAATCCTTTGAGGTAAATATAACAAATCACTAACACCATTTAGAAGATGAGGAAATAAGTATAGAAAGGTGAAGTGTCTTTGCTCAAAGCCACAGATTACATCAGAGCTGCTGCTAGAACTCCAACATCCTAGGTCCCTGTCTGTTGCTCTTTTCCACTCACTACACCATAAGGTTGGTAACAAAAAATCTTGGTTTCACGGAGCATCTGGGTGGCTCAGTCTGTTGAGCATCTGACTTCAGCTCAGGTCATGATCTTTTGGTCCATAAGTTCAAGCTCCACATCAGGCTCACTGCTGTCAGCCTGTCAGTGCAGAGCCCACTGTGGATCTTCTGTACCCTTCTCTTTGCTCCTCCTCCACTTATGCTCCCCCCAAAATAAATTTATTTTTAAAAATCTTGGTTTCAGGCATGATATACTTTAAAAAATAATCTACCTCTAATGTTCATTTCCATATGGAGGGAAATACACTGACCTGAAGCTATAGAATATAGAGCAGCTGAGTAGGTCACATGTAGTTAAAACCTCCAAGGGAATGTAGCTTTTGCTTCACTTTAAAACATTATGGAGGAACTCCCAAAAGTTCCTCCTTTTGGCCAACAACTCTCCAACATCTGTGCCAGTGAAAAGGGGCTAGGCTGGGGCCTTCCCCCTTATATAAGATAATGACATGTACCAAATACAAGCATACCCATCCAAAGAGTTTTATACCCCCAAGCAGGCTTTATCTGTGCTTGGTCTACTCTCTTCCAACTCACTTCCTAAATGAGAACCCGTGAATTACCTAAGGATTATCTGTCTGATTTGGGGAGACAGATGGAGTAGAAGGGTAAGCAATTTATTTTATTTCCTTTTCTTTTCCAGTGTCACTGAGATACAATAGATATATAATACTATGTAAGTTAATTTTTCCAACATGTTGATTTGATACTGACATATTGCAAAATGATCACTACAATAAAGTCAGTTAACAACCCCATCACCTCACGTAATTACCATTTCTTTTTTGTGGTGGGAACATTTAAGGTCACTTAGCAACTTTCAGTTTCATAATACAGTGTTGTTAATTATAGTTACCATGCTGTACATCAGATCCACAGAACTTATTTAATAACCAGAAGCCTGTACCCTTTCTTTGACCAGTATTTCCCTTTTTGTCCCCATCCACAGCCCCCGGAAACCACTATTCTCCTCTCCATTTCTACAATATCAAACAATATTTGTTTCTTTCCCTGTCTGACTTATTTCACTTAGCATAACCCACTTATTTCACTTAGCATAAGGCCTATCCATGTTGTCGTACATATCAATTATTTCCTCCTTTCTCACGGCTGAATAATATTCCACGTAATACATATATGTATATATGTAATATCTTTATCCATTCATCCATAGAATGACACTTAAGTTCCTTCCATATCTTGGCTACTGTGAATAGTGATGCATTGAAAATGGGAGTACAGATATCTCTGAGATCTTACTTTCATCTCTTTTGGATATATACCTTATAGTGGAACTGCTGGACCATATGACAGTACTATTTTTAATTTTTTGAGGAAATTCCATACATTTTTCCATAGTGGCTATACCAATTTGCATTCACACCAAATGTACACGAGTGCCTTTTCCTCCACAGCCTCTCCAACACTTATTATTTCTTGTCTTTTTGATGATAAGAGGTGTGAGGTGATATCTCACAGTGGGTTTTTTTTTTAATTTTTTAAAATGTTTTTATTTATTTTTGAGAAAGAGACAGAGACAGAGCATGATCATGGAGGGGTAGAGATAGGGGGAGACACAAAATTCAAAGGAAGCTCCAGGCTCTGAGCTATCAGCACAGAGCCTGACGTGGGGCTCGAACTCACAAACCGTGAGATCATGACTTGAGCAGATGCCGGAAGCTCAACTGACTGAGCTACCCAGGAGCCCCTCTTTTCTTTCTTTTTTTTGATATCTCACAGTGGTTTTGATTTGCATTTCCTTGATGATTAGTGATGCTGAATATCTTCTCATGAACCTGTTGGCTATTTGTACGTCTTTGAAAAAATGTCTACCCAGTTCCTCTTCCCATCTTTTTAAAATTTATTTATTTTGAGAGAAAGCGCACACATATGTGTAGGAGAGGGGCAGAGAGGGAAAGAGAGGATCCTAAGCAGGTTCCATGCTGTCAGCACAGAGCCCAATGTGGGACTTGATACCACAAATTGCGAGATCGTGACCTGAGTTGAGATCATGACGAGTTGAAATCAAGAGTCAGATGTTTAACCGACTGAGCCACCCAGGTGTCCCCATATATGGACTTTATAATGTTGAGGTACATTCTTCCTATATCCAATTTGTTCAGAATTTTCGTCATAAAATGTTATTGTATTTTGTCAAATGCTTTTTTTGCATCTGTTGAGATGATCATGTAATTTTTATCTTTCATTCTATTATTATTGTATATCATATTTATGTATGCTCAATCATCCTTGAATCTCAGAGATAAATCCCACTTGTTCATAGTATATGAGCTTTCTTGTGCTGCTGAATTTGGTTTGCTAACATTCTGTTGAGAATTTCTGCATCTATATTCATCAGGGATATTGGCTTATAGTTTCCTTTTCTTGTACTGTCCTTATCTGGCTTTGATATGAGAGGAAAGCTGTCCTCATAAAATGAATTTGAGGTGTTCCCTCCTCTTAAATTTTTTTGAAAGAGTTTGAGAAGGATTGGCATGAATTCTTCTTTAAATGTTTGGTAGAATTCACCAGAGAAACCACATGATTCTGAGTTTTTCTTGTTATTTTATTACTGATTCAATCTCCTTGTTATCAATCTGTGCAGATTTTCTATTTTTTCCTGATTCAGTCTTGGTAAGTTTTATATTTCTAGGAATGTATCCATTTCTTCTAGGTTATCCAATTTGTTGGCATAGTTGTTCACAGTAGTTTCTTATGATGTTTTGCATTTCTGTGTTTATCAGTTGTAATGCCTCTTCTTTCACTTGATTTTATTTCAGTCTTTTTTATCTTAGTCTAGCTAAAGGTTTGTTGATTTTACTTATCTTTTCAAAAAAAAAAACCTCTCAGTTTCATTGATCTTTTCTATTGTTTTTTTCTGGTCCCTGTTTCATTTATTTCTGCTCTGGTCTTTGTTATTTCCTTCCTTCTGCTAACTTTGGGCTTAGTTTCTTCCTTCTTCTAGTTCTCTGAGATGTAAAGATGAGTTGTATATTTGAGATATTTCTTTTCTCCTAATGTAAGCATTTGACACCATAAACTTCCCTTTAAGAAAAGCTTTTGTTGCATGTAAAACATGTTTTAACATGTATTTCCATTTTTGTTTCAAGATATTTTTTAAAATGTTTTAATGTTTATTTTTTTGAGAGACAGAGCACAAGCAGGGAAGGGCAGAGAGAGAGGGAGACACAGAGTCTAAAGCAGGCTCCAGGCTCTGAGCTGTCAGCACAGAGCCTGATGGAAACTCAAACACACAAACCATGAGATCATGACCTGAGCTGAAGTTGGAGCCCAAACAACTGAGCCACCCAGGCGCCCCTCAAGATATTTTTAAATTTTTCCTTTGATTTCTTCTTTGACCCACTGGTTGTTCAGTAACATGTTGTTTAATCCCCACGTATTTATGAATTTTCCAGTTTTCCTCTTGTTATTGATGGAATGTTCTGTATATGTCTAGTAGGTCCATAGCGTCTAAAGTATAGTTCAAGTCCAATGTTTCCTTGTTGATTTTCTGTTTGGATGACCTATCCATTGCTGAAAGTGGGGGACTTCAGTACTATTGTCAAAATAGACATAATACAATATATCTATTTTTCCCTTCAGATCTGTCAGTATTTGTTTAATACAGTTAGATGTACCAAGTTGGGTACATATGTATATATGACTATTATATCCTCTTATTGGGTTAAAAGGAATATCTAATTTAGAACATACCAGAGTTCCATGCAAAGAGTAAACTGTCATGCTGCAAAGTTAAGTATACATTTGAATACTTCTTCCAACAGAGCATACTCCTTAACTGAAGAGTCAGAAATCAAAATAGATTGCATTGAATTTGTAGACTGCTTTGGGTAGTAATGACACTTTAACTATATTTATTTTTCCAATCCATGAGCATGGAATGTTTTTCCATTTCTTTGTGTCTTCTTCAATTTCCTTCATAAGTTTTCTATAGTTTTCATCATACAGATCTCTTATATCTTTGGTTAGGTGTATTCCTAGGTATTTTATGGTTTTCGGTGCAATTGTAAATGGGATCAGTTTCTTGATTTCTCTTTCTGTTGCTTCATTGTTGGTGTATACAAATGCAAACGATTACTGTATGTTGATTTTGTACCCTGCAACTTTGCTGAATTCATGGATCAGTTCTAGAAGGCTTCTGGTGGAGTCTGTCGACTTTTCTATGTAGAGTATCATGTTGTCTGCAAAAAGTGAAAGTCAATCCAGTGAAGAAATGGGCAGAAGATATGAACAGACACTTCTCCAAAGAGGACATCCAGATGGCCAACAGACACATGAAACGATGCTCAGGATCCCTCCTTATCAGGGAAATACAAATCTAAACCACACTGAGATACCACCTCACGCCAGTCAGAGTGGCTAAAATGAGCAAATCAGAGGACTCTAGATGCTGGCAAGGATGTGGAGAAACAGGCACCCTCCTACACTGCTGGTGGGAATGTAAACTGGTGCAGCCCCTCTAGAAAACAGTGTGGAGGTTCCTCAGAAAATTAACAACAGAACTCCTCTATGACCCAGCCATAGCACTGCTAGGAATTTACCCAAGGGATACAGGAGTGCTGATGCATAGGGGCACATGTACCCCAATGTTCATAGCAGCACTCTCAACAATAGCCAAAACATGGAAAGAGCCTAAGTGTCCATCAACTGACAAATGGATCAAGAAGATATGGTTTATTTATACAATGGAATACTGCATGGCAATGAGAAAGAATGAAATCTGGCCATGTGTAGCAACATGGATGGAACTTGAGGGTATTATGCTGAGCAAAATAAGTCAGGCAGAAAAGGACAGATACCATATATTTGCACATATAGGAGGTTTAGGAAGCACTTAACAGAGGACCATGGGGGAGAAGAAGAGGAAAAATAGTGGGGGAGAGGGAGGGAGCCAAACTATAAGAGACTCTTGAATGCTGAGAACAAATTGAGGGCTGATGAGGGTGGGGGCAAGGGGAAGGGGGGATGGGCATGGAGGAGGGCACTTGTGGGGATGAGCACTGGGTGTTATATGGAAACCAACTTCACAATAAACTATTTAAAAAATAAAATAAAATAAATATTTTAAAAAAAAGAAATCAAAATAGAAAAGTTGGTTTCTTAAATCAAGGCTATTTTTAAAACCCCAGTTTGTTTAAAAAAGAAAAAAAGTTTTTGTAAATTGTGATGCCAATCTTTGGATAAGGGTAGGTGGGACTGAATGGTAAACTAAGTATAAAGCTCTTCAATTCAAAGGGCACAAAAATTACACACAGGAAGGCAGTAAAAACAAGTATTTATTGCCCTAGAACATCATTATTTTAAGGTAGGCATTGGCACATTTTTTATAAAAAGCCAGATATCATATATTTTCAGCTCTGTGAGTCATTCAGTCTGTTCAACTCTTCCATGGTAGTGCAAATGCAGCTTTGAATATTATGTAAACAAATGGATGTGGCCAGAATTGGCCCGCCTATTCTAAAGGATCATATCAGGAAAGGCCACTGGAGCTAAATCTTTTGGAATGAAGTGCAGACTGTGGGTAAAGTAGTTTAACAGAAAAACAAAAACTCACTACAAATCATGTCCACAAAGTTTCTTGATAGTTCTAGTAAACTTCCTAAAACCTGTCCTCCCTGCAATCTATTTGTAATTTTGTTTTTTTAAAGAACCTAGAGACCTTCAGGAAAATCCTGACCTATTCTCTGATATGGATTCTTCTGGAAATTGAGTCATAAACAGAAATTGGGCCATACTCAAATTTACATTGTATATTATCCTTTCTTTACACTTCATAATGTGTAGCAAAACACCATGTATATTCAGTGAGAAATGTTCATGCTCCTCGTCAGTCTAATTTGTATTATCAAAGAATAATCAGGTCACTCCCAACTATACAATGGGTATACATCCTCAGATATGGCAAAAATAAGGAATGGCTGGTCATCCTTTTGGCATTTGGCCTATTCTTGTGTGAGTTCTTAAGAGGATACAGGACGCTGGTGATTGATGACTAAATGCCATGCAGACAGATCTAATCCTCTCCTATCATATGATAATGAAAAGCTCTTTACAGCAAAGGGATTATTTTCTAAGTGGCAATGTCTGAAAGTCTCTCCTGGCCCCCTCTAATCACTTAGCTTACCTTGCTTCTTCACTTGTTCCAGAAGAAGATCCTTCATGGCAGGCTCTTCTGCAAGGTCAGACGGGACTTCACCTTCACTATTCACAATACCCACACTGGCTCCATGGTTGATGAAATACCTGTAGACAAGATCCAGGATCTACATTATCTGTCAATTTAATATCAATTTAAACACATGCATCTGGTTTTCAATTCAGAGCAAGGCCACTGTTTTGAGGTTTTAAATATGGTCCCAGGTAATGTGTTCCATTATTAATTTCTAACTCCATTAGCCTTCAATAATTAGAACTGGAAGCTTCTCTATTTCCTGATGAGCAATGCCAACAAACAGAATTTCTTTCACACTCATATTCCTAACTTCCACCCTCTCACTCCCATTGGATAGCAAGAGACTTTATAAATACCATCAGGAAGATATGCAGCCCTAAAATTTCACCTACCATCCTTGAGGTCCAAACAGATTCCCAAAAGGATTTATTATGCTTGTAATATTGAGAATGAGAGCTCTCAGAAGATATGTAACTTTCTCAAATGACACATTAGAATATATTAAGTAGTGTTGGGGTATGAAAACAGGAAAATAATGAATTAAAATGTGCATGAATCTGTGTAAATCATGCATGAATCTGTGTAAATCTGTGTAAATCCACAATACCTCTCTCTTCAACCAGCCATCCACATGAAATGTTCTACACTCTAACAGAAAACTAAATTACTAAAGAAATAAGTAAATTCTAAACAGATTTTGTATTGAAATACAATAGTCAATCCTGAGAAAGGTCTGATCATTTTAATACCTTAAATGGATCGTTTTTGATTTTCAAAGTGCTTCCAGATAAAATTACATAACGAGTCAGAAAATTTTATGAAGTAGATGATATATAAGTAGCACTACCTTCACGAGAAACTGAGGCTCATCTATGTTGAGTAATTTTTAAAAAATCATACAGGTGGCAAATGACAGAGGCGATGGCCTCAGTCTTCCATCTTTAAGTCTAGTTCAGGGGCGCCTGGGTGGTTCAGTTGGTTAGGCATCCGACTTTAGCTCAGGTTATGATCTCATGGTCCGTGGGTTCGAGCCCCGCATCGGGCTCTCTGCTGACAGCTCAGAGCCTGGAGCCTGCTCTGGGTTCTGTGTCTCCCTCTTTCTCTGTCCCTCACCGGCTCGTGCTCTATCTCTCTCTGTCTCAAAAATAAATAAACATTAAAAAAAAATTTTTTTTTAAAGTCTATTTCATCTGTTCTGGATTAAGATGCTTTTGGGCTAGTGAGAATCCCAGTAATGCTGGGAACTCTAACAAATACTCAAAAGTATTTAAAGGAAAAATCAGATTTCAACAATTTGGTGAGCATTTATTGGACCCCTACTATGTTTAAAGCACCATATTTTAGGGGCGCCTGGGTGGCTTAGTCGGTTAAGCGTCCGACTTTCACTTAGGTCATGATCTCGCGGTTCGTGGGTTCGAGCCCCGCGTCGGGCTCTGTGCTGACTGCCAGCTCAGAGCCTGGAGCCTGTTTCAGTCTGTGACTCCCTCTCTC